CAGCTCGGGCACTCAGTTATGTGCTGCCCGGCATGGGTGATTTTTAGTGCATGTGTATCTTGTCTCGCCAGCTTGACTACCAGCTTCTCCAGAACCAAACTGGGTCCCCCATAGTCCCCTAGTGGAGCATTCTCTACATAGTAGGTGCTCAACAAATAGACTTTCAACTGAATTGGGAATAGGCTTCCATAATGGAATGAACTCATTTCAGAAGTTCATTACCAAGTCATGAAAACCTTTTTCATAGATCTTCCTGGATTGAATCCAGCTCTACCTTAATTAGCAAAGCAATTTGCAACACCCTTTCCCAAAAGTGCTTATGCGTCCCTTTGTGTGACTAGAATAGGGGCCCACTGTACCAATTGCTGTCACCACCCAAAATTCAATTTTGAAAATCGAAATCAGTGCCTGCGGCACTGATGTAGATTTGTATGTATAAAAGTTTAATATGGTAAAGAGAAATTTACTGACGACTGAGCAGGGGAAATGCAAAAGGAGCAAAAATAGAGCTATAAAGGACACTTTGACAGTTGAACATCTATTTTATTCACATTTAGGAACAGTGCTGAATTTTTCATAATGTCCCTACTGCTGCCTTTTTCAAACCCAGAATTGTTATTAGTCCTAAAATGTCTGTAATCTCATTAGGTGTGAATGCAAAATCAGGTAATTTAAAGCTTGCATCAAGAATATGTTTTAAAATGAACAGTCCATTTCATTGGAAAAACTGTATACTTCAAAATTCAAGCATTTTTGTGGTGGAGTCTGTGAATAAAGTATAAGATGTAGGTATGTGGCAAGGCTTCTGGAATTAGGTAGCTCCGCTGACATCCTTTTAAGTAATAAGCAAGACTGTTGTGTTTTTTGTTGTTGTTGTTGTTGTTTTTGAGTCAGAGTCTCACACTGTTGCCCAGGCTGGAGTGCAGTGGCACGCTCATGGCCACTGCAGCCTCGACCTGCTGGGCTCAGGTGATCCTTCTACCTCAGCCTTCCAAGTAGCCGGAACTGCAGGCACACACTACCACTCCCGGCTAATTTTTTGATATATTGTAGAGACGAAGTCTCACCAAGTTGCCCAGGCTGATTTTGAACCCTTGAGCTCAGGCAGTCCTCTTACCTCGGCCTCCCAAAGTGCTGGGATTACAGGCTTGAGCCACCTCTCCCGGCCAAGACTATTTTTTAACTGCTCAACTTGGGTTGGGTGTGACTAGGAACCCAGAATTGGCCCAGGCTCCATCTGTCCCTAGGTGATAAGAACTTGGCTGGAAATTGGCGTATCTCAAACTCCCATCACCTCCACTGAGATACTTTTATAGCCTCTTTTAGATGTCTTCTGACCTCAAATGGGAAAATGGGTGGCAAGTCCATTTTTAGGACTCACAGGTGTTTGGTTCCTTCTCAGATTGTGATTGCCCTCCAGGGATTATGTGAACTGTCTAGGAGACTGTCTCCTTAACACTGAGTGAAGTGTAGGAGGTGAGGGAGCCCTCAAGTCACTTTGGTTTTTGTTTTTTTGCACACAGACCTTAGGCAGTTTGCCAGACAGGAGCAGCACCTCGCAAGGGTGACCCCCTGCTCTCTTTCTGTGTCCCTCCTGTCTATCCTGCTGCCCATGATAGATGGGAAAAAACAGGAAGGAAGGATGATGCCCTCCTTAATGCCTTAAGGGTGTGGTAAGAGGTCACTGAGCAGCCCCTTGGTGATTTCTCACTCCTAGAAGCAGGTTGGAGCAGGATGGGTTTCCAGGGGTTTAAAGGCAGATCTGGTTGGCATGTGAATTTGATCAGGGCGCAGTGGTAGGAGTCCAAGAGAGAGGCACCAGGAGGAAGCCAAGTCTGTGCCTTTCCTAAGAGGCTGGTTGAGTAGGTGTTGGGGATGGTGGTAGAAAGGGAAGGTCCAGACGAGCAGCCTTCAGGTGAAGACCGGGGATGGCACACAGCTGTTCCCTTGGCGGGCCTGACCGTGGAGTGCTCGGTGACTGCTGAGCCACCAGGGCCAGTCTAGAGAGAAGCCTCAGCAATTTCCCATCCGTCTTCACCTCTGTCTCTAGTACCACACTTGGCAGTTCATACCAGCCACACCAATCCGCGGATGATGTCCGCACTGCTGTTCCTGGGCATGGGCATCCCCCGGTCCTGTGCCTGCAGTGCCCCCTTCCTTCCGGGAATGTGCACTCCTCCTCAGCCGGCACTTCCTGCCTGGCTCCCTGGCAGAGCTGAGCCCTCCTCTACAGGCCCACAGCACCCCATACGCACTCCTTTGTTGCACTGCCACACCAGGGCTGTCCGGAAGTGTCCTGTCCTTTCCCCTCTTCGCTTATGAGGTGGGGGCCCGTGTTTCCTATGCCAGCTCCTTACTACTAACAACCGTAACAAAACTAAGCACATGAATCAGCATCCCAGGCCCAGATCCTGAGCAGCCAACCATTACCTCATAGCACACCACCCTCGGAAGTAGGAGCTATTATTATCTTTTCTTTTAAAAGAAAGGTTAACCTGGCCAGTGTGCTTCAAAAATGTTCAATGCATAAAAGACTAAGGCCAAGGAACTGTCCCAGATTAAAGGAGACTAAAGATACATGACAGTTAAATGCAGTGGGACATCCTGTTTTTTAGATTATTACTGAGACAATTGACAGAATTAGAATATGGACTGGAGATTAGATAATAGTGTGGTATCAGTGTTACATGGCCTGGATTTGGTCATTGAACTGTGGTTATGTAAGAGAATATCCTCATTCTTAGGAAGTTCACACTATTACAGGGTGAGGGCATGCTCTCCTACTTACTTTCAAATGGATCAGAAGAAAAATACGTGTGTACAGACATAGCGAATGGTAAAGCACATATGGCTGTTGATTAAATGTGTTTCATGGGGAAGATAGAGTGGTTGGCCCACGTCCCATGGCTGGTGAGGATGGTGCCAGGATTCACCCCAGGCAGCCCAGCCGCACTCCTTGCAGCCTTGGAGATGCCCATTCACTCGAGCATGGGCCAGGCACACTGCAGGTGCTTGGTGAGTGTCTGTTGATCTGAGTGAGTGAAGCTGCACAAGATGAAGAGAGCAAACAAAAGATGAAATGCAAGGAATGAAAATCTTTTGGCAATCTAAACAGTATTTTTGGGCACAAAAAACTTTGTGCCAGTGTTGTTCTCTTTTTCCTTTTGTGTCTTCTCCCTGCTGTTCTCTGCCTTCTGTGTGAGCTCTTGATTACATGTGCCCTGCTCAAGAAATCACCTTCCAGATGTGCCCTTCCAGAGCATGTGTGCAGGATTCTGTTCTTGCTGGACTTTCCCCAGAAGAGCTGAGCAGAGGAAGGTACCAGCTGCACCCTCGCCCATTGCATTTGTTCTGTCCACTCAGATCATGCCTCCGATGATCATTCAGCAAACACTGGCCATAACCCTTCCTCTTTTGATGTGGCGGCTGCAACATTCTCATGATGAGCAGCCTGAACTGGGGGATGAATCAGCTAGAACTCAACACTAGACCATCTTTTCTGTTTGCTATAAAGTGGGGACCTCATTTGATGCGCACATAGAGGCAGAAGTGGAGCTGCCTGTTAAAATGCTTCACTGCTGATTTATTGATGCTCTGCCTCCAAGGAAGGATTTAAGTTAGAAAAATCCATTATTTGAATTCTGGGAAAAAACAAAGTTTTGTTCTGGGGAGCTTTTCAGAATTCTTGGCCGAAAAATGTAAAGAATTATAGATAAATAATAGCAAGGGCAGATAGAAGGGGAAATTACAAAGGGAAAGCCATTTCTGGCTGTGTTGCCCGTCTTCCCAGGAATGTCTAGCAGGTGCACCACTGTCTTGGGCACCTGGGGGATTTATGTCCTGTCCCCCCTTTTTTTGTTTTGAGTTGGAGTCTCATTCTGTCGCCCAGGCTGGAGTGCAGTGGCATGCTCACAGCCACCCCAATGTCGACCTGCTGGGCTCTGGCAATCCTGCCTCAGCCTTCCAAGTAGCTGGAACTATAGGCATGCACTACTATGCTCAGTTAATTTTTATTTTTGTATATAAATGAGGTCTCACCATGTTACCCAGGCTGGTCTCAAACTCACGGGCTCAAGCAATCCTCTAGCCTTTGCCTCCCAAAGTGCTGGGATTACAGGTTTGAGCCACCATGCCCAGCCCTGTCCCCTTTCTACTGCAAGGACTCAGCGTTCTGGGCCATCTCCCTTCCCGCAAGACCTGACTGGGCTCCTGTCTTGGCTCTTCTGCATTCACCTGGCTCATCTTAAGCACTGCACTCTTCATGTTTCTTTCCTTCTTGTAGAGCTTCAGCAGCTCCCCACTTACCACAGATAAAAGCTCAGATGGCTTTTTTTTTGCCTTTCATAAAAGAATATTTAATACATTTTCTGTTGAACTCAAAGCCTTTCTTTTTCTTCTGCCCAGACTTTTTTACCTTTACATTCAGGCCCTCAGCCAGACTGGCCTGGCCTGGCCTGAAGCATCTCACACATTCCTGCCTCCTGTCCCTGGCTCATGCCATCCCCTCCACCAGGAAGGCCTCGCCCTTCTCCCTTCTGTTCCCTGACTCCTGTGCATCTTTCAGAACCCAGCGTCGCCTTGCTTCTGCCATATACTGACCGCTTGAGCGTGTGGGATTCCCATCTGAATCCCTGCAGCACACACTGCCCACACTCCATTTGTTAGGCACACCCTTCCAACCTGACATTTCCACTGGCGTCCCCGCTATAGCTGGCCCAGTGGTTAGCTAGTCGCAGGTGTTCAACAAATGTTTGTTTGCTGGTTGATTGATCAGGTTTTTCTGCAGGTTGGGGAGTTGATGAGGTAGAGCCATTCCTCCAAGTAGGTGGTTTCTAATAGAGCTGTAGGTCAGGTTCGCCTCCCACAGCAGGAAGCCAGTGTTAGCCACAGGCCTGCTCCATGTGAATATGCCTTATTAAGCATGGGCCTTCCTTAAGGCACATATGCTGTGGGAGGCAGGACTCTTTCGCTCACATCCTTGGGGGTTCTTTGCTTTTCAGATTGCAGAGCCTGAGGCCTGTGATCAGATGTATGAGAGCTTAGCACGGCTGCATTCAAACTACTACAAACACAAGGTAAGTGGGCCGCGGACGGGACAGCCAATAAGAATGAGTGAAAATCTGATTATACAAAGTGTTGTGAAGAATTCAGGGTTTGCTACTTTCAAATGGAGCCAGTAATTTCTGCCAGACCAACAAAGATGTTTGTTAGAGGCTTTTAGGCTACTTAAATAAAGCTATTTAAAATAATGATCAAAAGCCATATATTTGATATGCCAGTGTGTGCTCCTGGGAGTATCTGACAACCGTTGGACCCTATACCTGCTTTCCCTCCACTCTGATGGAGTCGAAAGCACACTCTGGTAATCAAGAGGTGGTGGTTAGGAAAGGCCTGGCCTTTTCCACAGCTGGGCCCTGACATGATTACTGTCAGGTTCCGTTTAGTGTGGTTTTTCCCTTGCAAGATATGTTCAGTAACTCCACAAACACGCATGGCCAAATGCCTGCATGGAAAAAGGTATTTCTTCTCAATTATCCCTAGTAAAGTGTGGTCTAAGCAGCAGCAGGGATCACCTGGAAGCTGGTTAAAGATGCATAACCTGGGCCCCGCCCAGCCCCTCTGAATCTGAGGATTTCCCAGAGAGGATTTGTGTGCTGTGAAAGTTGGAGCTAGCCGGGCTCGGTTGCTCAGCCTGTAATCCCGCGCTTTGGGAGGCTGAGGTGAGTGGATTGCCTGAGCCCGCGGGTTCGAGACCCGCCTGGGCAGCGAGACCTCATCTCTACAATAAATCAAAAAAATCAGCCGGGCGTGGTAGCGCGCGCCTGTAATTCCGGCTACTTGGAAGGCTGAGGCGGAAGGCTCGCCGGAGCCCAGCAGGTCGAGGCCGCGGTGGCCGGGAGCAGCCACTGCACTCCAGTCTGGGCGGCAGAGTGAGACTCAAAAAAAAAAGAAAAGAAAAGAAAAAAGAAAGTTGGAGCTGCTTCCTCAAGGCATTACTGGTTCTTGCGAGACCAAGTCTTGACCTCAAGGTGGCGCTGCTTTTCTCCTTGCTAGGCCTCCTGGCCTCTGGCTGCCCAGGGCCCAGTTGAATTGCAGTTAGAGCAAGGCTTGAGTGCTGCAGAACTAATCTCCCTCCTCCCTTCTCTCATGCTCTCTGCCCCTGTGACCAGTACCCTCGCCCCAGAGACACCAGCTTCAGTGGCCTGTCAGTAGAAGAGTACAAGCTGATCCTGTCCACAGGTACTGAAAGCACCACTGCTTTTCTGGTTGGTTTGCAAATGGTTCTTTTGAGTTTGAGCCGCCAAGGGGAATTGTCTAATAAGACAGCTTTGCTTGACGGAAAGTCTTGCGGAATAGCCCAGAGGAAATTGTGAAGCTACGGGCTCATGCGTTTTGGCCATAGAATGTGGAGAAGGTCAAAGGTGTTATTTAAAAATGAAACTCTATCTTTAGAGCTTTTAAATTCAAGGCTAGCAGCGGGGAGCAGGGGAATCCATGTTTGCCAAATGGAAGTAGTTGAAATCAGGATGGAAGGAAAATACTTTTATTTTTATGGTTCTAAGGGGGCTTTATAAACAATGAGGGTTTTAATTAAAACAAAAAGCTATTTAATAAACGGGTATGGGGATATCCGCCTAAGAGTTATGTGACCCAGGGGACATGGTCTGTGGGTTAGATATGAGTTTAACTGGTTATGCTTTGGAGTCATTGATAGACCCTGATTAACAAGAAAGGAAACACCCTGCCAAGCCATCCCCTCCTTACTTCCCTGTTTTCATTGTCACTGAGGGGGTGTGGGAGAGTCAGGGCTGAGGTAGGCAGGTCCTGGAAAATTGCTATTTTTATTGCCAAGGATATTGTATATAAAAATAAGCTAACCTTTTCTGGGAGGGCACAGTCCTGAAGCATTTGCCTTCTGGAACTCTATAAATTTCTCTTTCCTCTTCTTCTGGCAGCCTTTGGCAACTAAGTTTTGAGAAAAATTCTTAACCTGAGTAGATTAAAACCTGGTGGTGTCACCCGCCTGCTGTTGTGTCAACTCTGACCCTATTTTTATTTCAGTACACTTGTGAAAACTGGGGTGAAGATATTTTTGCCAGGCTGAGTCACTTTATTGGCAGTATTTTTTTTAATGAATAAATTTATTCCCGTCCATGGGTTCATGTAATGACCAACATTGATGCACTGTCCTTGTGAGAGCCCCGGAGAGTTTGAGCGAAGTTTGAACTTGAATTTCGAGCATGGAAATCAGTCCCAGTGGCCCTGCCTCGCCCTTGTGGTAGCCCCAGGGAAGCGTCTGTGAGTGGGAAGCAAGCACCAGTGAAGGATGGAGATGGAGGAGGCCCCACCACTGGTCTGTGCTGCAGCTCGTTCTGGCTGCGGGTTCAGTTCCAGGAGACATGCTGACCGTTTGCTTTCACAGCAAGCCTTGTTACTTTTGTTGCAACCATGGGGAGCAAGTTTGTCGGGTGTTCCCTCTGACGGGACTAGAGGAGACCTGCAGCACCTTGTAGTGAGAGGCTGTAGGCCTGGGGAGACTGAGATGTGCCGTGATCTGGGCCACAAGTGTGTCCACTTTGGGACTGGAGTTATGGGAGGCGCTAAAGGGAGGCCTCATGGCTTGTAGATGGAAAGGGATCCCTGTGTCGCTTTGTAACCTATGCGGGAGCCTGGACTTGTGGAAAAGCCCCAGAACGCAGTGCTAGGCCAGTGGATGGCACGTGTCCTCATTTAGTCAATAACCCACTGAAAATAAACGTTAATATATAACAGTGGCCGGGCTCGGTGGTTTAGCCTGTAATCCCAGCACTTTGGGAGGCTGAGGCGAGTGGATTGCCTGAGGCTGCGGGTTCGAGACCCACCTTGGCAACTTGGCGAGACCTCGTCTCTACAATAAATCAAAAACTAGCTGGGCGTGGTAGCGCATGCCTGTAGTTCCAGCTACTTGGAAGGCTGAGAAGGAAGGATCACCAGAGCCCAGTAGTTCGAGGCTGCAGTGGCTGGGAGCGTGCAGCAGAGTGAGTCTGGCCGACAGAGTGAGACTCTGACTAAAAAAAAAAAAAATAGTAAAAATAAATAATTAAATAAATAACAGTGGCCGTTTTTGTTCAGAAAAACTATTCTTCTTCTCCATAAGTTTTTGTTAACAGATGAAAATTCAGACTGTGAAAGCCAAACAATATTCTGAGAATACCTAAATTCAAAATATAGGTAAAATTAGATATTATGGGACCTCAGCTCTGGAGAGACTTAGACTAGTGGTCCCCTAATGGGGTGATGTTGCTCCCCAGGGGACATGTGGCAATGTCTGGAGACATTTTTAGTTGTCACAACTGGTGTGGGGACAGAGGTGCTCCTGGCATCTAGTGGGTAGAGGCCAGAATGCTGCTAAACATCTATAACAATGCTTAGGCTGCCACACAACAAAATATTATCTGGCCTGAAATATCAGTAGTGCCAAGCCGAGAAACCCTGCTTTGGTTCCTGCATGGCAGTGTGTGTTCTTAAGGGCTTGCTGGCTCATACCAGCCCTCCCGCCTTCATGGTGGTAAAGATGGCAGCCTTCTCACTGAGCACAGGCCATGTGCTGGCAGGTTACTTCCATTATCTGCTTTAATCCTCACAGCTTTTGAGGTACATATGATTGGCTTGAGAGACCCAGGAGTCCCCTGATGGGTGAGGATTCAGGCCCAAGCCCATCTCCCCCACCAAGTGCCTGTTCAAGTCTACAGTGTGGATGGAACCCACACTGCCAGAGTTCAAATCCCAGCTTCACCACTTCCTAGCTGTTGTGTCCTGAGCAAGTTACTTAGCCTCCATCTGTCTGTTGCCACATCTGAAAACAAGAAGTCTGTGGGAACAGGCTAAATTCTGTGATGAAGTATCTGGGTGTGTGAGCTGTGGTGTGGCTGACAGCACAGGCCCTCTTTGCTCCCATGTGGAGCAGGGCAGCAAGCAGCACACCCTGCCTCAATGCTGGGCGCTGGACACTGGCACACGGTGCTGTCACCACAAGCGGTCACTTGTTACCCTGTTTGATCTGCTTTTCAGAAGTTGGGTCTACACCTCTCTTTTCAGGAACACATTGTGTGAGAACAGGCATGCTTGTGTCGGGAAAGCCCCATGGGCCAATCTGTGTCATCAGGTTTTAGACTTCAGTCTCTCTCTGACTTCCCTTTTACAGACACCTTGGAAGAGTTTAAGGAAATGAACAAAGGCCTGTGGAAGAAGCTGCAGGAGAAGTTCGCCCCCAAGGATCCTGAAGAGAAGCACAAGGCCTGGGCCCGGGACTTATCTCACCCGCGCACCTAGGTGTGGAGTCTTGTCTGTTGCCATTGTCAATAAAACCGCCTGATCTCCCCCGACCTCACATCTGGGAGTCTCACCTAACCTTCACAAGAAGGAAACCTGTTGCTCTAAAGGAAGTTTCGGCCTGGGAAGGGATGCTGTTTGAGCTGTTCAGCGTGGCCATCAGTCGGGGCAGGGAAGTCTCCTGGGGGAGGAAACACAGATTTCCCTGGGGCCTGACAAGGGAGGGTAACGGGGCCTCACACAAGCTGCTTCCTGCATGGCCACAGGAGCCCCCATCTCTTAGGCAGGGGCCTGGCGTCTCCTGGCAAGATTCTCAGACTCGCTTTGTTGTAGGAGCTCCTGGGAGGAAGCCAAAAATAGCAGTAAGTATCTAAAAGGGCATCCTGTTGCAAACAGAAAGCAGCAGGGAGGTGTGAGGCTGAGAGGAGCCTGCTTGGCCCTGTCCCTGCTGACTCAGGCCATTGGGTTGCCACGGGAGGGCCTCTGCCCTGACCTTGCACCAACATGGCTTTAGGGACAGGCCTTGGCCAGGCTGGCCTTCAGGTTGTGGTTAGCCTTAGCACTGTGGGAAGATTCTATGGGAGGCCACAGGAAAGAGGGGGCCCATTGGCTGAGGACACACACGAGTCACCTTATTATGCCATGGCTTGGTTCTTACTGGTAGACATGTTCACATTCCCTACTTGAGGGTCCTTCTGTCAAGAATACTGTGGGGAGAAGGGGCAGGGCAGGGGCCAACAGCACCCCTCGCTGGCACAGAGCGCATGTGGCATCTTGACTTCCCCTGTACCTAGACCTCAGTCTGTTCTGAAATGCATAAAATAAAGTGCATAGGATTGTGATGGAAACCAGGTACACTGAAGTGCAGTTTTGCCCAGGAACTCCTGGAGACAGGATGTCGCTCCAAGCATCTGAGAGCCAGAGGAGAGGCTAGGCCAGCAGGAAGGGCCCGTTTTCCTGACCTCTGCCAGTGTACCCTGCTAATCCCCACAGCCCCAGGGGAGAACAGGAAACACAGCCCTTTCTGAGGGACTAGATTTCTATTAATTTATTTAAGGCAATTAACGTATTAGTTCTCAGGCCAAAGGATTTGTAAAACGTAACACCAAAAGGAGAAAACAAGCAGTCAAAAAACAGCCACTCTGGCACAGCTCAGCCCTTGTCTCCCAGGTGTGTGCTGGCCCCCAGGAATCCCTGGAAGAGGTAGGTCCCGGGAACCAGGCTGTCTGTCCTTGGGACACCAGGCCATCTGGAGCTGTGCTGGGGATGGCCTGGACACAGGTGTGCACACTCTACAGCAGATCTGAGGCATGAGGAGGCCATGCTGCCATGGCAGGGCTGAGCACAGCACCCCGGAATAAGTTAAATAACAAAGCCCTAACGTCACTAGTAACAGCATGACTGCCACCTCCCCCAGAGGCAGGCAGCAGCCAAAATGTAGTGCTTGGAGATACAGAGGTGGCCCCACTCCTATCCACCCACAAGGAAGACTACAAAGGGATGTCAGTTACTGCTTTAAGGGACAACGGTCTCCAGGACTTGTCTTCTGCTAAGGCACTAAGGTAAACTGAGTCCCAGTGAACTTCTGAGTCTTTTAAAGTCAGCTCAGCCTCCCCCTCCATGCTTGTCAAAGCTTGAGCTACGTGGGGATGTCTGGCAGGGAGGGCACTAGAGGTCAGGTGGGCACTTAGCCTTGGAGAGGCTGGCCAGCTTGCTCCCCAGGCCACACGACCCGAGCCAGGGCAGTGCTTTTCCCAGTCATTATCCAGTGACGGCATTCCCTGTTGGGGCCTCCGGCACTCTCCTCAGCGGCTCATGCAGTTCTGGACATCCACAAAGCCAAGGCGCTGCCTGCGCTTCCGCTGCTCTGTCATCTAGGGTTAAACAGATGCCACCAGGCCTGGTCAGGCTGCCCGGTGCCCTTCCCTCCACTGCTGTTCTGGAGGGGCTGGTGCCCACTCTTCCCCGTGGACCCAGCTGCCACTCAGCCCTGGAGGCAGGCCAGGGCCCCTTGGGGTGCTGGAGGATGTGGGTGTCAGCTCTAAACCCTTGTTCTCAATTAGCATGTCACCAACCCCTGAGGTGGTGGAGCCGGGAAGCCGCCTCACCTAACAGGGACTGCCTGGCCCTCAGGAAGTCACTGCCACGTGCGGCGGGGGGGGG